GAAGATTAATTTTTAATTGGATAGATCCATTAAATAGTCTTTAGATTTTATGAACATAATTTAGAAAAATTTAATTAAATGTCGTAAAAAAATTATTAAAATTTGTATGGTTATGAAACTTAACTTTAAATGTTTCCACTTATTGATCTATATATTTAAAAGTACTTTCGATTAAAGTTTTAAATCTGACGATAAATTATATCATACTTTAATAATTAATTATAGTAAAAATTAATTTTTTTTAATTTAATAGGATTATATTACTTTAGAAAATTTCAAGATAAAAAATATCTTTGGCATATAAATACATTAATTCAATGCTGCATTAATTTTAAAAAATTACCCATTTAATATTTAATAAGTTCAATATTTAATCTTTTTATTTTATTAAAAGAAAATAGTATTTTTACTGTGAAAAAAATATTCAAACGAAATTCACTAAAATTAAATATATAGTGAAAATCATTATTTAAATACAAATGCCAAAGAATATATATAAGATTTCATTTTATAAATTATTATGTAATTTAGTAAATATATATTTGTAATAAAAATATTATATTTAAAATATTAAAAATATAATTAAAAAATTGGTGTTTATTTTAATAAATGAAAATATTTAGCGAAATGTATATTAACTCATTTTCAAAATAGTAAAATAGTCATAACGCAAATCTTAAAAAAGTTTGGGTAAACTTTGACTACAGCAATATTACATTGTAAAAGAATATATTTCAGTAAACAAACTATAGTATCATTTATTTTTTTAATAAAGTAACAATGATACAATAAAGGAGACATAATAATAATTGTATATATGGATAATAGAATGTAAATAATAACATTTAAATTTTCTAGTAAAATACTGAGATTAAATTTGCAAATATTTAGATTTTCTATTAACTGATCTTTTAGTTATCAATTACAGAATACTATCGTTTCATTTTATATGAGATATATTTTAGTACAAGTGTTGCCATAAATAACCAATTATCTACGATAAATAACCAATGTTTATGAGCTAGAAAAAAATGTATATATGATATTGTATATTGTTTTTGAATATATTAATTTTTTTAATGTAATATGTAATCAAATATTAAATTAAATCTAGATTGGTTTACAATAAATTCTATATAAAATTCAAAACGTAAAATTCAAAAATTGAAAGTAAATAATGTAAATGATAATGCTAATTCACACCCAAATTAGATATTTATAAAACAATATGTTATGATTGAATATGATTGAACGAAATTTTTTAAACAATAATTCTAAACCAATCTAAACTATTTTTGTATTATTTAGTTTAATTTCCTTAAATATATTCTATTTATATTCTCGAATATTATTTCAATATTTTATATAAACCTTAAAACGTATAATAAATTATTATGTGCTACTGATGCATTATAGCTATTTTTTATGCATTTACAATTATTATATAATAATTTGTAATACAATTAATATATATCACCTGTTCATAATTACCTTTTTTTTTCTAAATAATTCGTTTTGAAAAAAAATATAAGTACAAGTCATTATTAATATTTAATATAATCGAAACGTACTATGACTTAAAATTCCAAAAAAATTGGTAAAATATTTTTTGTAATAATTATTTAATAATTAAACTATAATATAAAATTTATAAAATTCATATTTTAAACGTAAAATAATATTATAAGTATAGAATTTACACACAATTTACGTTTTGGAAAATATGGTGGTAATCTATAATTAGCATTACTATGCGATGTTCCCTTTTTATAATTTAAAGCATTATAAACTAAATAAAAATGTATGAACTTTATTTATCTTATTCAAAAGTTTGTAAAAAAAAAAAAATTTAATAGAAATAAAACTATTTAATTACATAAAATTATAATTTCTTATTCAAAGGAACCTATTGAATAAAATATCCGAACAATTAATTTAAATATAATTAATATTATTTTTTTTTTTTTTTTAAATATAAATAACTAATGTTGATATTAATTTTGAAAAACAAATTACCAACATTTACATTAGTATTTTAAAATTCAAATTACTAATGTTAAGTAATCATAAATTTATTATAAATGAGATATAGTTAACATTGTATTTAATGTCAACTTAAATTATTACAATTTTTTATCAGAATGTTACATATTCGTTACATTTTCATATACAATTTTAATTAAAATATACTATAATTTTAAAGCCTTACTTATTATATTATAAATTATATTATATTTTCTATTCTATATATTGATAAAAAAATTAATTGTTGTATATTTATTCGAACTCATTATGAATAAATATTAATAAATCATTTTATATGAAAATATTAATATTTTACAATACAACTATTTTAAATTCTATACTTACATATTTATATTCAATTTATATTCAATACTTGAATTGAAAAAAATTGTATTTTATTATAAAATTTCATTTATTATATATAATGTTTATATAAACTTAAATATATAAAATATTGAAAATATTATTGATAATTATCAGTACAATCATTAATTTTCTCTCAAATATAAAAAGCAAAATTTAATACATTTTAATGAACTTTCAAGTTAAGAGAATGTATCTTATACTCTTTTCTCTCTCTCTCTCTCTCTCTCTCTCTCTCTCTCTCACTCACTCACTCTGTCTCTCTCACTCACTCTTTATTTATCGCTAACCGTTCCTCATTTTCCTTTCCCAATGTGTAGGTTCTAACTCTGTCTACCATAACTAAAATCAATTACTCGTATGACAAATTAAATATTCCAATATAAGCTCAAATACATTCACGAGAAAGCTAACCACATGTTACCTAATGTACGCTTGTATGAACTCATGTACGAATGCTATTAAATCTTTACCGTTTATGACTCAGTTGTATTTTTGCATTATAGAAACATTAAAAAGAGCATAATGATAATGCTGATATTAGTGCATTTAGGTAGTCTTATCTTTCAAGATATTTCCATAGAAATCAATTACAAGTCAAATATTTTACAAAATTTTATTTTCTATTTAGATATATAAAAGTTATATTTAATAAAACGTTGTATACTTATAAATTTAATACAGTTTTTGATAAATTTATATTTGACATTGAAAGATAAATAGTAAATAAATTATAAATATAAAGTAAATTATATGTACTGTCAATACTTTAATGATAATTTATATCAAGTTATGCAGTTTAAGAGATATTATTAAAATGAAATTATATATTTGATCTAATGTTTATAACTGAAATTATGTAATTGATTTATACAATTGTTGTTATTATATGAATATATTTTTATTACTTTTCACTATATTTGAAATTACTTTTAAACGAATTAAGGAATATCATTAAATCCTATATAGCTATAATTATTAATTTTCGTATATTGTAATAATTATATTAATTTTCTTATCTTATCGAAATTCTTATCAATATTTATTGTCATAAAAGAAAAGTTTAGTCTAAATATAATAATCTTGATAAAATTTTTATAAAAATGATTATAGAATTATTATATATTGAACATTACATAAATTAAATAATAAATTATTATAGTTATGTCTTGAATTCTATAGTCATTCATATAATATAAAATTTAACTTCGCTTAAACAATTTAATATTATAAAAATATTTTTGAATAATTAGATTATACATTTGAAATAATCTATTTTATTTTCTATTGAAATTTTATTTAAAAGTAATTATGATCAGACAATTACCAATTTATTTTTCATATTCAATCTAAACAATTCGATCTAAAAAGTAAAATATTAAATACGTACACACACGCGCGCCCGCTTATGTATATGTATAATATTATTTAAAATACATATTATTTAGTGTCTTATAATTAAAAAAATAATTAAACTCAAAAAGTTTATATTAATTTAAAATTAAATATCTATATTGGGTAAAATCGTGAAATTCCTTATTGATTAAAACATTATTAATCCCAGTAAAATTAGTGCACCACATTCTTTATATATATATGAACTATAATTAACTATAATTAACCATAATTATTAAAAAGGTAATATGGTAATAATAATACCTAATCTAATCTAATAAAATATGATAAAACAATAAAATATATAATTGTCAAAAATAAAAATCTTATATTAATTGATTCGATATAATTATAATCATAATCAATAAAAAAAGGTAAGTAGTATAAATACAATATGCTCTGACGTACATCAGATAATGAAAATGTAGTGATTCGAATTTCATTAGATCAATGAGTGCATATTACAATTGAAAATATATTAATTTTTTTTAAAGTAATTTATATAGTAATTTAACTCGAGATAACTGTAACATATTAAATACATTAAAAGATACTTGTATATATATTTTTATTTAATCATTTGAATATTAGTCTGTGACTGCTACTAGAATAACTTGAAAAATCTTTATTCACCCAATACTGTAGCTAAACTAATTTTAATATCTTTTATATATTTATTTATTGCATACATATATATTTAAAAGATAAAAATAATTATACATGAAATCATATATATATATATATATATATGTATATATGGAATATACTATATATATTTAATATATTTTATATAAATTTCACAAATTTAGTTGTGTGATTGAAAAATATTCCAAATTGTATGGTTAAAATCATACTAATATTTCCAAAATCGAAACATGGGCATATTTCAGAATATTACATAATATATATAGTATATAAATAACTTTAAGCGATTTTAAAGTTTTATAAAAAAAATAATTTAATTAATATTATATGTTACTAGGCAGTATGTAGGTAAATAAAATATATACAAATAGATTATTTTTATCATTTAAATATGTATTTAGAATTCTGCGTTTATTTATATTAATAAATAATCTATCATTTTACTGTTACACGAATTAAAAATATAAGGTAGTGTAATAAGAATAAATTGAATTGAAGCATTGAACGAGCAATTATTAAGATTACTAATAATTTATATCAATAAATTTAAAAAATCGTGAAAATTTACTTACCGTTCAAAATCAGCTTTCCGTTTTAAATTCCGCCTACTCTTCTCACTTACCCACAATGATCATACAGTCTTATCAATGTTTTGTATCACTTGTTATTGAATTTATATCAGAACGATCGGATAGAAAATAAAAAAAAAGATCGTAAGTATGTATAAGAAAAAAGATGAAGAAAAACGAGTAAAGTGCTGGCGCACGATGGAGTCACTGTGCTGGAAATAAAGCAAAGTGTGGCTACGCCGAAGCGGACCATCGTATATATACCGGCAAGCGAGTAAACGCGCACACGAATAAAGGATGGGAAGGAAGGGTGGGAGAGGTGGATGGTACTACAGGGATATCGAGAGTTGAAGGGATAAGGGTGAGAGTACAAGTATATGTCAATCTATTTCTGTTTTACCTCTCATGACTGTACGAATCTTACCTTCTTTTAACTGATATCTTTCTTTTCTATTGCTGCTCTTTACATTTCAATAAATTAGCTCAAAAGTACCATTTAATATATGGAATATCAAAATAAATAATACTATAAAATAGGGGATTAAATGCATGTAATAAATAGTTAAATAATCATATTCATTCGGCAAACATTTAATATGCATATTATTACAAATATACTATAATAACAAAATCTACTAAATATACTAAATTTTCTACGAACATTACATTTTTTATTATATCCAGAACATTTATACATTAAAAATACAAAATTCAAATTGTATTTTATTAAAGATTTTTATACAGCAAAATAGTGTAAATATTTATTGTCAAGTTTATAAAATATCCAGTTATATAAAACATCTGAATTGATGATCTTTTATTTATGTGAAAATGTTTAATATGATAGCAACAAATGATAAATATCCATATTTGCAGATAATCGTGTGCAGTATTATCGCATTACATATTATTTTAGAAATAATCAATTATAGATTAATTAATTTTTATATGAATTGAATAATCGAATTGGCCAACAAGAAATTTAATTAATTAAAATAATTAACTTATTTCTTCTAATGGTGTAAACAATATTTTTTAAGTATTTTAAATGAAAATTTTAGAAATATTGTTACCTAATTTATTGTTAAATTATTTTTATTATTAAAAAAATAGTAGTATAAGATGTTATTAAAAAAAGTTACTTGCCGAAATACAATTGTTCATTTTTAGAAGAAATCTTTTGTTACAGTAGAATTATAAAAACTTCTTTCAAAATAGTAAGAATTTCAAAAATGACTTTAACAAAAAATCAATTTTTTTATTGAATTACAGATAAAAACGATCCTTTATGGCTCATTACTATTAGATAATTCGTTGCAAAAATTTTTATCCATTCATTATAAGTATTTCTATTGTAACTATGTCATGACAACCGCATTTAAAAGTATCTTTATCTTTACAATTACATATAATTATACTTTTATTAAGTTTAATAAAGAATTTTATTAAATCTTTAAAATACTATGATTTTTGATATGTTTGAAGAATCGCAGAAAATTTAAAAATGGAATTTTTAAAATTAACTTATATTTTGTACCATTAATTTAATAATAATTAACCTTGTAAATTTTTTCAATTAGATTTTCTATGTTTTTACTAAAATTCATGTATAATAAATATTTTATAGATAGAGAGTAAATATGATAACAATCATATAAAAATTATTCTACAGGAGCAACACTAAATAGTGCACTTGATTTTTTGAGTGCTATTTTGTATACTAAGGAATAGATTAAAGAAACAATCAATGATTGTATTTTAGAGGGAAGAGATATTTATACTATATAACATTATATTAAATAAAAATAAAATAAACTCATTCTTTTATAGGAGGACTTCTTTAGTGTACAAAAACTATTAGAATACACTTCATTGACTTTCAATACAAAAGTAAACAAAATATTGATTGATCCGTGAGATTACTCTTATTAAAACGAAATTTTTTATTCTCACATTATTTATATTTATTATATTTCCACGTATAGATAGGGAAATAATTTTGATTGCTTTGTTCTACTTTCATGTAGTGCCATAACGTGACACTCACATCAAAATTAATGAATCATTGCATGGTCAATAATATATATATATATATATATATATATATATATATATATATATATATATATCAATATATAGATATACCACGATTAATGACAGTCAGCAAGCTGACAGAGGCAAAGTAGCTCATTCACCTGGACAATATCATATTCGAAGTCTAGTTAAAGTATTAATGATTTAGAAGATTTAAATAAATTATTTCAATTTTCAATGCATCTTGCCATAAAATCGAAACAATAAATGCCACACCTTGTCCCACTTAATCGACTAATTAGCATAGAAAAATTAATACTAAATATTTTCACTGCTCCGTTCGTTTATTGCCACCAGACTTGCGGATACTTGTGCGTGTAGACGGAATAAAAACTATTCTCTTGAGTATAACCAATGTACAAATTATTATACTTTGCTTTCAGCCAAATTATCTTTTGATAGAACGTAAAATATTTTTCCGTAATTTGCAAAGAAAGCTATTCCATTATAATATAAATATAGATAAAAATATAATAATTATATTGTTTTATTTATTGTAAGCTTATTTTGCAAATTTCCAAATTCAAAATGTTAAAATATTCAAATATCTTCTACTTGTTCTTAGAAAATAAATCAAATATCATTGAAAAACTAATTTTATCATAATAGTTTTAAGGTGTAATTTTGCTAATTGTATTGAACAATTTATTTATTACTATTATATTAGAAATCGGAATAATTAGAAAATATGAAGCTCAATTATTTTACTAATTCAGATGAATTTATTCTAATGTATGCTGTAGTTTAAAGGGAATTGTATAAGATTGAAACAATGAATATAAAATAAAAATAACATAATGCAGAATAAAAATAGATTGAATATTTATTACTAATGTATTTTAACAAAAGTACTTTATTAATGAATATAATTTATAAATTTTCACTTTATAAATTCAAATGTTCTTAAATAATCTATTATTTCAATATTTTTAAGAATGACCCAAATACAATTTTATTAACACTACTAATTTAATTTAAAAATTAATTATTAGAAAAAGACTCACATACCATATGTGTGTGTGTGTGTGCGCGCGCGCGCGCGCATATATATATATATATATATATATATATATATATATATATATAAAGTAGATACTTCAATGTTGCAATTATGAAACATGATGCAATTAAAAAACATGATGAAAACCGAGTGCAAAAGTGACTTAAAAAAAATACATTATTGCATATTCCTCGTTGAATATATATTTTATAGTGGTTTCGATCAACTGTGTAAAGAACATCGCTAATACTATATTAAGCAAAAGAAACATTAAAAGATTCTCTTATCTCATGGTGTTGATTTACGCGGGTCGGCTGTGCCAAAGTGATTCAAAATTCTGAAAGCGTAGTGCGAAAAATTCTTCAGCATCGTCGATACACTTCAGCCCACCAAGCGCATAAAAGTTAAGAAGAAAACGTGCGCATCTCAATGGAACAATTTTCTCTGTATACATTATTGGAACCCGAGTTTCATATAGACAAGTCGCACCGCTAGGAAAGCTATCTCAAAATAAAAGTTTTTTAATGTCTATATAACACAAATTACGAATTCATCTTATTATGGTGTCATTGATATTACAAGACTCAATATCAAGGTTTATTCAGGAATACAAATCGAAATGCAATGCAGTTTATGTATTATGTACTAATTACAACAAATTCTATATAAATCAATTAGCAGTAAATGCTGCATTATCTGTAAATTTAATGTATGCATTATATTATATCTAATTTAAACGAATGTGTAAAATTATTAACTATTTGCAATGGTCAAAAGTGACTTATAAATCTTACACGTTGTATCATTTTATTTAAAAATCTAATCAAATGTACTATTCGAAAAATACTGTTAATTTATAATATATTCATAAGTTACACATCGTTATTATTGGATAAGCGTCAAATTAGAGCCAGCATTTGTAATAATAATAATAATAATTATTATTATATCAACAACGATATATAGTATATGAATATATAATCAAATATTGTTATAGAAGCTTGGAAATGCTCGATCGTCCTTCGACTGTCGCGTCGAGGCTAATACTGACCATTTTTGTCCCTAGATTGCCACGGCACCAGGAATTGCAGCTCTTTCAAAGATGTTGGCAATTTAATGAAAATTAAATGGATACACGATGACATTCAAGATTGGACACTAGTAAGCTATAGTCAGCTCAGAGCCACCTCCAATCTCAGATTTTCGTCTATGATTTCGCGCGCAGCAGTGGTGCAGAATCCCCTCGTTATTCGTCAAACCAAAGTGTCGGAACAAGGTAGATCCTTATCTGATTGACAATATTCTGTTCCTCGCGTAATTATTTACTCAATAATGCGATATGATTATTAATAGATCTACAAAAGTATCATAAAAAATTGAAATGCAAGAAAATATATAAGTCACTTAAAATAACTAGAAATTAACATATATATTTACATATATACATATATAAACATATATATATATATATATATATATATATATATATATACAAATTTATTTATATATATAACAACTTATAGAGGATAATAGGATATTAGTATATAGTATAGTAATACTGTAAAAGTATCAGTAAGTCACTCAATATTCGTAACGGGAACACTCAAAATTAAAAATCTTTTGTTGAAAAGAATTTTTCAATTAGAATTTTTAAAATACCAATGTGTATTACTACGTTTACAAACATTCTCTCAAACTTTTCGAATATAAATCTTCTTTAAAAAAATTCATTCATTTATCGCAACTATTATGAATTATGTATTTACATAAGAATTATATCATTGAAATTTTTAATATGTGCTCTTACTATTTGAAACAAAAAATCTTATTAATTTATTTGACTTGTCATTTAGTACGAAAAACATTAGCAGTACAAATTATATGAAAGGAGTATTTATCTACTTACATTATTTTTAAAAACAATTATATATACTTTATTTACAAAGAATTCTTTCATATATACAAATAACTATAACATGTAATGAATAATATAATTTTAGATTATAAGCAAATTATTATCTTTATACAAATTTCTTACATATTTATTTATGCACATATTATACAGAACACTTGCAATAGTATTGATAAACTGACTGGATAGCTTGTACTTCATTCTAA